CCTGGGAGGCTCAACACTAAGAATTTAAAGATTGCCCTTGTTTTAGACAAGATCACCTTCAGAGAACATTTGGGTCCTTTCTTGTCCTGAAATTTAGGTCAGCAGGCTTCTAGAACATTGGTCGTTTCATATAGGCTTGGCTTTGTATCCCTGTTTTTTTCTTCTCACCCCTCATGACAAAGGAAAATCCAGAATGATCTGTCAAGGATCTAGGCAGGAGAGCAGAGAAGGAGGCAATGGCCATATTCCATTCATCTCCTTTTTTTCCCCTTTTCTTTCTCCTTCTGAGCTCTCCAATTGACATCATAAATCACCTCTCCCTTACCACTCACTGTGAATTATGGTGAGTTTGTAGGCCCCTTTCTCTGCTCTAGGGAGTTGTCTTTGGCAAGATTCATTTCAAGATAACACTGATCCTGTGTGGGCCCCAGGAAGCATGCACTCTTGCAGCTTGCTCCTTAGATCCCTTCTAAATTCATGGTGGGTCTATCTCTGTACCCTTTTCTTATGGCTTGATATTGATGGGAAGAGAGGAGTATCTATGGGTGGAGTCTGGCAAGCATTTCATGGTTGATGAAACACTGAAGATACTTATTTATCTCAATCCCATACCTCTTCTGTAATTATGCCCCTGATGATCATGGGCCCCAATAGCAGGTGTAATTGAGTGGTTCAAAAATCAAAGTTGAGAGGCAACTGTCTGGAGCTATGAGTATGTCAGGGTCTTGGATATTTATACAGACACTGAAGGCAGTGAGGGGGGGCGTGGAATTTGGGATTGAGAAATCTCTTGAGAAATGTGCGTGGCTTGAACCCAGGAGCCCAGACTTTCATCAACCTCTTTGTAACTGGGAGGATAAGGAGAATAAGGATTCAACACAAAGATGTCTGCTTCAGTCTGAGGGATCCCCAGCTCAGTTTCAGATGGACTGTATTAGGAGAATCACCTTTGTGTCAACTCTGAGCTAAATGTCTCCTTAGCCTTCCAGAGTGTGCAACTTCCTCATTAGCCTAGGTTGCTTATCACCAAGTTCTGAAGAAGGCAAGGCCAATAATCATTCTTTTATTTTGCTGAGAGCCTCCTCAACATTTACAGATGACTCTTATTCCTCATATTTTTCCTTTAAATTATGCTGATAAGAATAGCCTTTTAATAGTCATTTTTTATCTTGTCCATTGTATTAATCAGGGAAGCAGTGTAAATAATAATTATTGTAATAATTCCAAAGTTTCAGTGTTTTAATACTTGACAGGTTATTTCCTCAAACTATTAAAGTCCAATTAGGTGTGTGGCAATTGGATTGAGACAGCTTCTGTCTAGTATTTTTGCCATCTTCAAGGACACTAGAATCCTTTCTTGGGTCCTCTGCATCTGATTTCTGGCAAGAGAATAGAAAGCATATAAAGGACCCTGCCAGGGGGTTTAGGCAAGATAGGCACAGCATAGACAGTCACATACAGAATCAGCCCACGCCTCACCTCCCTGCAAGGGACTAGGGGAGGCACTTGCCCCAGGGAGAAGAAAAGCAACAGTTCTAGTGAACACCAGCCTTGTCCATAGCAGCAAACCTTTCTGGGGGAAGAATCAGTGTGTGCAGGGAATTAAGTGGCCAGAGTCATAGCCAGACTGCTTGGGCTAAAATCCTGGCCCCATTACTTCGTAACTGTGTGATTCTTACACTGTACAATCTACACAGTAAATTGTGTACAGTATGGTGTTTACTGATGACAGGGTTAAGTACTGAACTCGGAACTGTGGCTGCACATTTTAAATACCTAAGAAATATTAGTTCTTATTAATGAATGTGACGTGCCTAGCCCAGGTCTGACACAGGAAAACATTTGCTCTGTCAAATGAGAAAATTTACTCAAATTTAGGTAAAGGATCTTATTGGTGGATCTAGAATGGGGTAACATACCTCTTCCACAACATAGAATAGCTGTTCCCAAGAGCCAAGCAGAGAAGGTTAGTTTTATTGACAAACAGGGCTGAGGAAAGCAGAAGCTCAAAACAAAAACAGATTTGTTGTTGCAGAGTTAATTTCCTTGCAGAGGTCTTTAAAAGCAACCTCAACTGGCTCACTTGGAAATTTGGCTGTCACCTCTCTCTCTCTTCTGATTTCTTTGAAGGTAGACAACTTAAATTTGGGCTTGGTAGCATAGATGATTAGCAAAAGTGACTCCATTTTGGTTTGGTCTGTTGGGCCTAGTGCAGGAGCTCAGGCCAAACCAATGGCCCCAATAACATTTTGTGTAATAATAGCTATTGTTACTCCTTTTCTTTATTGACATCTTTATCTAAAAACACTATTTTCTAGTGTTCAGGGCCCTCCACTGATCTTTCTTCATCTGCTTTTCCTTTTCTTTCCTACTTTCCTCTTTCCCGCAAGTTTGGATGTCTGTTTCCATTCCTGGTTTTTATTTCTCTCTCCTCCATTATGTACCCTCTGGCTATAAAAGTCCCTTTTTATTTAGGCCCTACTCTGTGGCCTCCATTTCCTTCCTATATCAAATGCCCCCAGAAACTTCCTCTTAATGAAATCTTGCCTTAATGCACATTTAAAGAATCTCTCTGAATTAAGTGGAGTGTTCCCTTCCGATTTTCTATTTCTTCCCTTACTCTCTATCATTTTCACAGGAAATACAACCCAGGGGAATCAGAGCCATTAGCAGCAGCAATCCTAGTAACTGGGAATCAGGTTTGATGGAATCTCTGGGATCTCAATGGAACAAAATGAAAAAAAGAACCTGAGATAATGAACAGTTTTTGTAATTCTTATCTGTACACAAAATCTAGAGAATTTTAATTGGCTCGTGACAGGAGCTTTATGAAAGTAGGCAGCTTATTTTATTAATAACTGTCACTCTCTCACCTAGACCAGTGCACATAGAAGGTATTCACAACTGCTTGCTTAATCAATTTTACTTGGAAAAAGGAAGTTAGCAAAAGATGGGAACTGATGAATGAGAACAAGGGAACAGATTTATTAAAGTTTGCTTACATTGTTTCTCCTGATGTTCACCACCCTACTTTTTATGGTATTTTAAAGTAAAGGATTAAAGTCATCATTATCATTATCAGTTATTTTTCTTTGCATCAAAAAGGACATTAGCGATGTTGGAAGGGCTAGCATATTTTATAAGAATGTAAGTCTTCAGGATCTGAATGGCAATTCTTCTTCCAACTTATTATTCATTTTTCTTTTGAAAAATTTTCAAGGAGACACATTTTCCAGCTTAAGTGTAATCAAATAAAGGCAATTACTCATATGTTCATGTGGGTGAAATCTTAAAGTAACAAAAACAATCATGAGCAAAGTATAACTCTATTAATTTTGATTTTTAAAGTGGTCTGTAAAGTTAATCTGCAAATGTTGAAGATAAAACACACTTAAGAGGCTTGTTTATGTTTTTCTCTGTGCTTTTTTCATGAAACCCAGCCTCATATTAAAATCACAGTAAGAAATGTCTTCTTTTACGTGATGCTCTGTGTCTTTGTATCCACATACATTTGGGCTCATGCTGCACACAGCCAATTCTCCAACATGCAGGGGCTTCATGGAGAGCTGACAGGTCTTCCTCTTTCCTTCCTTCTCCACCTTCTAGAGTTCATGAGCACACCCACAGGATGCATGAGTGGTTAAGAAAAATAGGAACATGAAAATCAGTTTGTTTTGCCTCTTGAAAGCAATTGTATTAAAAGGTTTGTGTGAAGAAAGTTGAAGTAATAGATAATCCATTAAAGTGCTGAGCCCGGGATCATGAATACTCCTGTACTTTCTTCTGGGGTCATTACCATCAGGGAAAGTTGCTGGATTCTGATCCTGGTGATCCTTCACCCTGAAGAATTAATCCATGTTGGGTTGACGTCAAAGAGCTTTGGCCAGGTGAGAGACCTACTAGTGAAAGGGCTCTCAATGCACCCACTCTCTTCCCCACTTCCTACAGTCTCACCAGCAGGCTTTCCCTTCCTATCAATCAGCTGATAAAGAAATGAGGTTTAGTAATCTGGGCATCATTTTGAGAAAGAAAAAGTCAGTGACGCCAACACTTAAGAGATGGTGGCAGCTTTGTCAATATGCTAAGGTTCCTCTTACACAGTACCGTGACCATTTATAGGAACCAGTGCAGTTTTCCTCACATTCTGACCATGAATCAGCTACAAAAAGACTCTTTACACCTATAATCCCAGCAGCTCAGGAGGCTGAGGCAGGAGAATCACAAGTTCAAGCCAGCCTCAGCAAAAGTGAGGCCCTAAGAAACTCAGTGAGATCCTGTCTCTGAATAAAACAGGGCTGGGGATGTGGCTCAGTGGTCAAGTGCCCCTGAGTTCAATCCTCAGTACCAAGAAAAAAAAAGGCTCTGGCTCTGAGCTTTCAGAATCTTGAGGAGTTACAATGTTAACATTTTGAATTATCAAAATTTATTCTAGAGTCTTTTGTATTAAGGCTCTGAAACGGTGACTCTGGTAGACTCCATAACTTCAAGTGGAAGAATAAAAGCAGAAAGACAATTTTGAGACTTAATCTTTGGTTTTATTAAAAGGTAATCTATTTGCCTTACATAATAAATAAAGAACCCAAACAGAGACTATATGGCTTAGTAACTTTTTTCTTTAAAACACTTAAGAAAACCCACATAACTTAAACTCATAAATTGGTTATATCCTTTCTAGTTTATGTTTTTTTCCTGCAGCATCTACCACAGTGCAAGCAATAAATATTTGTTGAAATAATAAATAATGCACAAATGTACTACAATCATCTTGTTTGTCCTGTACCAGCTAAGCCAAGTCCAGAACATAGGCAGCATAAAAAGAGATAATTTCCAGATCTTGACCTTACGACTGAATGCCTAAGAGGTCTTCCTGTCTATTTAGGGAGGTCTGAGTTTTGGGGCCATGCAATTTAAACTAACTTTTCTCTTTATTAACAAATACTAATTGGTTATGCAATTAGCTAAGTTAATTCAGATCCATATATATCCATTTCTGCACAAAAGAATATGTGCATTTTGCCTGGCTGTAGAATCTACTTTAGTCCATTTTCCATTGCCAATTACACAATCCAACAGACCAGGAAAATTTTAAATAAAAAGAGGTTGATTTTGGCTCATAGCTTTAGAAGTTCAAGGTACAGGAGCCACATCTGGTGATGGCCTTCTTGTTGGCAGAGTCTGGGACAGCACAGAGTGATACGTGGCAGGAGACAGGAAATACAGGTGCCTGTGTGCGTGTGCCTGCGTGTATACATGCGTACATGTGCGTCTGTCTTCTCAGGTTTCTCTTCCTCTTATGAAACCTCAGTATTCAATCTGGGGCCTCTGCCCTAAGGACCTTCTCTGGTTCTAATCGCCTCTCAAAGGCCCTACCTGAAAATACCATAGTCTGTTTAAATTTCCACACTCTTAATACCTCCCAAAGGGGATTGAATTTGAACACATGGGCCCCTGGGGGGACACATACTCAGACAATTTCTAAACTACAGCAATCCCCTTAATTCTGGAAGAGCTGGCACCAGGAGAGACACTGTCGCTTCCATTTCCTGCTTGACTTTGACTCCTTTGCTGCTTTGGTGTTTATTTCTTGGCTACAAGGAGAGCTGAGGGGGTGGGGTGAGGGGGCACACCTTCATTTCCTGCATGTGAACAGGGTGTGGGGTGGTAAGGAGATCAGACTTGAAGCCCACAGGAAAACAGAGTAACCTGAGCTGCAGCTGTTCGTAGGCCTGCAGGATTCCAGGGCCAAACACTGTCCTGGTGAATACTCATTCACCAGGCATGTTTGGCTCATGGTAAGGTCTTAGGGGAAATCCCATTCTGGGTGCAGCGCTGAATCATACATGCATATATTATATGGGTTTTATTAATCATAGGATTAAATCGTATTCCAAAAAATATTGCAATCTAATATGGTAAAACCTAGGCGTGTCATGATCACCCTTTAAGAACAGGTTCTGTACTATCAGTGTTATCAAAGGAATATCTTTTAAAATATAGTATTTAATTTTAAATGTTTATAATTCAATTTTTTTAAAAAAAGTTTCAACCAGTGATGTGCAGGATATAAATTTTTTAAAAAGCCCTGATGATTTCCATGGTGCAAATATTCCCAACGTGGCTGATTTCAATTTACTAATGATTTAAAAAGTTCATAAAATTCCTGAATATTGCATTTAACAATGAACTCTTGCAAGCTGTTGGGAGCTGGCTCCAGCACACCCCACACAATAAAATCTAATAATACAAAGGGTATTAGGACGTTTCCAATCTTCATCCTTGGTTGACTGTAGCAAAGGGGAGGTGGTGCTTACAGAGACAGGTTCACCCAACCTGGACTGTGAAGACTGAATAGGTAAAGATTCTAGGGAGAGGTGATTCCTTGTGTCTTTTTGTTTATGTACTGGGTATTGAACTCAGGGATGGTTTACCACTGAGCTACATCCCTAGTCTGTTATGTTTTTTATTTTGAGACAGGGTCTTGCTAAATTGCTGAGACTGGCCTTGAACTTTCCATCATCCTCCTGCCTCAGCCTTATGAATTGCTGGGATTACAGGTATGTGCCACCTCACCTGGTTCCTTATATCTTTTCAAGTTTTTTATTCTTCTACACCCCTGCTGCCCCTAAATCACTTGTTCAGAGAACATTGGCATAGATATCCTAGAATGAGCCATTGGACATGTGAAAGCATTGCCTTGGTATTTACTTTTTCCTGTATTCATTTTTCATGTATGTTTGAGAAAGTTCCTCTAGTGGCTTCCCTCTAGTTGTAAAATCTTAGGCTGGTTGACTTCACCTCCACTTATTGTTATTCCCTTACATACTTCCAGAAACTCTGCTTTTCTCATTTAATTTAGCAGCTTGAATAAGAATTTTCATATGTAGTTAGTGTTTGACCCAGCAGTAATCCACCTAAAGTCCATTTTTAGGTTTTTTTTTTTTTTTTTTTTTTTTTTTTTTTTTTTTTGTACTGGGAATTGAACCCAGGGGCACTTAAATGCTAAGCCACATCCCCATCCCTTTTTTGTATTTTATTTAGAGACAGCATCTCACTGAGTTGCTTAGTGCCTTGCTTTTGCTGAGGCTGGCTTTGAACTTGTGATCCTTTTTTGGTTTAATTTCTTTTTTTAAAAATTTTTTTATTAGTTGCTCAAAACATTACAATGATCCTGACATAGCATACATTTGATTCAAATGGGGTACGTAATCTTATTTTTCCATGTGTACAGATTGCAGGATCACATTGGTTATACAGCTACGTTTATACATAGGGCAATACTAGTGTCTATTGTATTGTGCTGCCCTTCCTATGCCCCCCTCCCCTCCCATCACATCTTTCTTTTTTTGTTTTAATTTCTTTTTAAAATTTATTTATTTGTTCTAATTAGTTATATATGACAGCAGAATGCATTTTGATTCATAGTATACAAACAGAGCACGATAGTTTCATGTCTCTGTACACAAAGTAGAGTCACAACATTCATGTTATCATACATGTACCTAGGGTCCATCTCATTCCACCATCTTTTTTTATCCCCATACTCCTCCCTTACCCTTCCCTCCCCCCCTTTGCCCTATCCAAAGTTCCTTCAGCCTCCCACTGGGATTACAGGTGTGGGCCACTGCACCTGGCCGTTTTTAGGGTCTTGAGCTTCCTTTTTAACCTGATGAAGGAACATTAATACTTGTAGCCCAGTATCTTTCTTATAGGTAGGACCTGATTAAATCTATCTCTTGAGTCCTAGTGAAGTAAATAGAAGGTGCAGTTGGAATCTTCCAAGAGCTCTATGAGCAATGTCTGAGGTGTTTGTCAAGAGAAATAGAGCTCCTTTTTCTGAGGCTGAGGCTGGGCCTTGGCTTGCTCATTGCAGAGGAAAATTTTCTGGGCTCTAAGATGTGGTTTTGTTTTCTCATAACCTGTCTTTCGTATTATCAGTGTCTAAGTAGCTTCTCTTAATAGCTTTTGGAAGTACTTTTATGTCACATGAATAGAAGCAATGGAAATAATTTCCTTCATCCTTCTATATCAATCACTGTTATGTCTCTGGCCCAGGTTCACTTTTGGAGCAGCAGAGATGTGTTGCTCATGGCCATCTGTTTATATCTGGGTTCAGTTCTTGGATTTCTGCCTGTGTAGGGCCAATTACCATCTACTCTGTCTTTCACCTCACCTTCTCATTTTACAGCAGACCTCAGTCTCCAAAAACTTCAGCTTCCTATCTTTACTGTCAACCACTTAGATTCTACCTGATCCTTCTAAAGGGACTTTTGCTTTCATTGGTCTTACTAGAACTTGCAAGGTGTTTTACCATTCGCCATTAATAAATTTTTTTTTTTTTTTTTTTGCTGGGCATGGTGGTTCATGTCTATAATCCTAGCAGCTTGGGAGGATTTCAAGATCAAGGTCAGCCTTAGCAACTTAGTGAGGACCTAAGCAACTTAGTGGGAACTTTCTCAAAATTAAAAACCACAAAAGCACTGTGATGTAGCTCAGTGGTAAAGCTCCCCTGGGCTCAATCCCTAGTACGATTTATCTTTTCTTTTTAGTAGGGATTTAATGATCAACAAGTTATTTCCTGTTTTACATTTATCAACATGATAACTACTCTTATCCCTCTAGTGACAGTTTTGCTAGTGTAAAATGAAGACTCACTCAGAAAACCCCCAAAACAAGAGGTGGGAGAGAATAGAGGTCAGAATTGAAAGCATTTTCTTTGAAAGGCTATAGTTTTGATATGAACTTATCATTTATTAATAGTTTTAATCCACCTGTATTGACATTTCTATGTCAATGTCTAGGAAATATGTGATTCTGATAGAATTTCTTCATTTAAAAATGTAATTTTCCCCAGGGAGACAATGATAAGGCCTAACTACTACATGTGAGAATTGTTATTGTTAAGGTGAGATTGCAATAAATCATTGAGTCCATCTTAAAGTAGGAGATGGAAACTTTATTCACCAGTTAGCGGTCTGGATCCACCAGCTGGTGGGCCAAGGGGTAGGCTGAAGTTTACACCCTCCAACCCCCTTCTGGGGTTTAAGCACACCTTTTATAGTCCAAAACCATATTAAAGCATAAGTGGCTGTTGCTTTCATTCAAAACCATAAACACACATCATGAGATCTAAAATCATAAGCAGAAAAGGGAGTGGGCAAAAAATGTCCCTAGTTGAGCACAAGTTAAAGAATGGTTACTAACATCTAGACAATCAGTCTCTGACAGGGTACATTGTCCAAGAAAAATGGGAACCAAAGAGAGAACACTTTTACATTGTATAAGAATTGCCATTTTGTGTTGCCAAACATGCTATGCTAAGCAACTATTGATGGGTATAGAGGCGGGGCTTTCCATGGGAGAAGCATTTCTTAATGATGTGGAGTCTGAGGGCAAAATGGAGTCTGCTTGGTCATTGCCCATTAGCCTGGCCCATAACATTATCATACTCCTTTATTATTTGGTTGTTGACTTGGGTGTTATGCTAAGGTCAAATATGTTTATTCTAAGCTATCCCATTTAGTCCTTTGGTGAATTCCAAAGGTTGTTTTCAAAAGAGTACATTTCAAGGGCAAGGTAGCATTTACTTAGAGGTGTGCACTGATAAATTTCTAAAGGTAGAGGCAAAAGCAAAATTAATGGTTATGTTTGTATTTTTGGAAGTCACTATCTTTGTAATCAGTCACTTGGTAGAGTTTTCAAAAATCATATGGAATGTCAAGCTATATGCTCTGGTAAAGTTGGAAAGGATAATAAATCAGAGTTATATAAATCTATTTGTACTGGCTCAATTCCAGGAAAATGAGAATATCGGATCAAGTGTTTACTGGAAGAAATAATACCTGTGTTAAACCAGGTGATTACCAAAGGAAACTAAAAAAATGGAAAAAAAACCAACAACCCTATATGGTTTAGCACAAAGTACTGAGTTGGTAGGCATTTTCCTTAAATCACAACAGCAGCTATGCTCTACTGTACAAATCATAAAGGAGTTTTTGCCCAAAGTATGTCATTCTATGAAATGAGAATGAATTTTCTGGAACCAGAAAACAATGGTTTGGGTATTCTGTGTGTGGGTGATGAAACTAAAGAAACTTTAATTCAAAGCCCTTCTCTTCCATTTATTAGCTGGATGACTTGGGGAAATTCACTTAATTTCTTTTTCTGCCTTGAATTGTCTGGTGACAGGGCCTCTTTTATAAGTTGATGTCATGATTCAAATGAAATAATATATGCAGAGTTATGATTTTTACATGTGTAAGTGAATAATATATTCTTTGCAATGAAGGCAAATATAAGTGATAAAAGAAGGAAAAGTCATTTGAGAAGAAAAGGTTGCCTGAAATTTTTAAAAGTCAGGTACTAGTTAGAGAATGCTCAATGTGTTAGTCAGCTTTCCATCACTGTGACAAAATACATGAGATAATCTATAAAGAGAAAAGAGTTATTTTTGACTCAGAGTTCTGGAGGTTTTAGTCCATGACTAGTTGGCCCCATTGAATCTGGATTTTTGGATGAAGCAGCACATACTGCAGGAGCACAAGGTAGAACAACCTATTTACCTCAAGGCCAGAATTTAAAAAAAGGTGAGAGTGGAAGGGGCCAGAGTCTCTCTGTCCCCTTCAAGGGTATTCCCAAAATAATAGAAAAACCTACATTTGGTTCCACCTCTTAAAGATTTCACCTTCTCCAATAACATCAAGCTGGGGGCTTGAACACATGGGCTTTGGGAGATATTTTAGATCCAAACTCTAGTGCTTAATATCTGATTTGGTCAGTAAAATATTAGCCAAGGATGAATCTGCCCAGTAAGCAACTTTAGCTGAAGGGGAAAGGACAGCTGCTCTATTTAAAGAGGTGGAAGTGAGCAGCATTTTATTTCTTCATAGCTAAAAACAATTCCTAAACTAAATTGGAAAGAAAGTCCTGACATCAGAAGATTCTTTGTGTGTATGTATGTATAAAGAAGTGAAGACATTAGGGGATAGTGGCTTTTCCCATAGCAATATGCATTTTGTTTTTTAAATTACTTTGACCTCTTTAATTATTCACTTAGAGGAGGATCATACCCATGTCCTTAAACGATCACTTAGGACCTGAGTTTTGGTTAGTGCAGTCCTCTTTTGATAATTCATAAATATTCTAATTTTCTCCTTTCCAGACACATGCAAGGATTACATTTCTGTACTCCTTTCCCTCCCTCTTTGAAGTTAGTCATGCCCACATGATTTGATTTGGCTAATGAAATGCTAAAGGAAATTAGGAGACACATGTCTCATTTTCCTCTGCCTTGGTCACCAAGGAGGCACATGACAATAAGGAATCTATATCAATCCAACCCTGCAAGCTGGTGTGGGACGTGTATTGTGGATGAGAAACAAATTGTGTTAGCCAATAAGATTTTTGGGGGTTGTTTATTATTGAAGCAGAAGCTAGCCTATAGGTAGTATTTGACAAGATGTCTAACTCACGGACATGGGTTCAGAAGTAGCCTGGTGGCACATCGAACAAAGCATTCTTCTTCAAAGGAAAAACGCAACCCATAAACAAGACAACA